TTTAGAAGAAACCCTAGATTTGTCGAACAAATTCTACTAAAACCATTTCTGAACTCAAAAGAAGTTTTATCATCAACCGCAGAATTAACTGCCCCACAAGCAGTTCTTTGGAATAACTATGAGATTGTTTTTGTATACTGTAATCTTATGTTATTTTTAGTTTTCTTCATCTTCATTTTTATCCAGTTCTTCTACAGTCATACAACCGAAAATAACACTGAAATAAACCACTGAATAAACAGAAACACAAATACACCAATATTTCATGAAATAATAAATAAGAAAATGCAGGAAAATTAGAAATAGAAATCCCTTATCACAACTGTTATCCAGTTTCAGGCACAAGTGTAGCATCCTCTTGCATTAGTTTCCTCTTCTCTCAGATGTAAATCAAAACCACTCCACGGATACTAATCATTCAGTTTCTCCACATATGATTCAAAAATAAAATCCCACAGGCAATTTCACAATGAAAGCATACGAAAAGATAATACTACTCTTTTTATAAAAAAAATAAAAGAAGGGAAGATGTATTAATGTGATGCGCTAAGGGATCATCACCCATTTACAAAAAATTTACATGTCACCTTCTTTCTTTTTCTTAAAGGCCTTGTATATTTCTACTCTCAGACAAGGTTTAACAGACGTGCGAGACACCGACGATTAGTAGTTTAGGGGTTTTATGAACTAAGGCTTTGCAGTGCCAGGAGCCCGCCTGGATACCCTTCACACTGCATACCTAACCACCGTTCAGCCACCCTCTTCCAGGGTGGTAGCGGGGACCTGCCAGGCCAGCGAGTCCAAGGAGGGGTCTAATGAACTAAGGCTTTGGAGTGCCGGGAGCCCGCCTGGATACCCTTCACACTGCATACCTAACCGCCGTTCAACCACCCTCTTTCAGGGTGGTAGCGGGAACCCGCAGGGCCAGTGAATTCAAAAAGATAATACTACTCTTATATGGTTGGTTCAAATCTAATCCTGCAAATACAACCTAGACAGAAAACCGAAAGATTAACATGATAATATACTACTTTTTCTATACATTCATGCATCAAAAAGCCTAGTGAGCACCCAAAAGTCATGAGGCCTTTCTACAAACAGTTGATTACCAAACAAAGGAAACCAAAGTTGTTTTAGTTTAAATTATCCAATTCCGACCAGATAATCAAAAAAGAAATACTAGAAAGTGGAAGGTAAGCTTGTTGACATACGCTGAGCTATTCAAGAGGAAACGAACATCACCATATAGAGATTTCTCTCCCTCTTCTCACCTTTTCAAACCCGAATGCCCAATTTTTCCTATCGGTTCTTCTCTTTGCTTTCCCCAAGTCGACCTCTTCGTATGGTAAAAATGCAGACTTCTGCTTAACGCTTTCTCTGCCTTTGTCGACTCAATGGACTCTGTTTCCGCAGCTCGTCTGCTTCGGTCTCTGTCTCCGAAGTCCCGATCAGAATTCAGAGGCGAACCCTTGTCTTCTTCCCTGGTTAACCTGAACTGTTATGGCCCCCAGGGCTTTGGGCTTGAAAATGAGTTTCGGTGAAATGGGTTCAATTAGATTTTTTTCTTCTTTGTCTTCTCACAGTAGGATTTATAACTTACACAAATCTTTCATTGTGATAAAAACACAATAGTTTTTCAGTGTGAAAAAATAATTAATTAATTCTCTTGATTACGATTACTTTGAATCAGATCAACCATTATAATCCACCAATTAGATGCGAATGTAGAACTTAATTGAACTGTTTTGGAGCAACTATTACCAAAGTGTTTACCATGTTATAATTTATATTCATACATAAAAGAATAGTCATTATATAGAGGTCATCAAACTTAATTAATTGATATAGTTAAAAATTAAAACTTTGAAAATCTCTGAAGTACAACTCACCTTTATGAATTCTCTTCCCACCCACCCACCTAAATCCCACCAAAAATTGCATATCATCTTCTCCTTTTGAGTATAAATATTTTGTAGCATCATATAAGAGGGGATGGCATGAACTACACCCTTCAAAAATACTTCTTTGCTAACTCTTGATAAAAATGTAATATCTCACTCATTTAACCTTCTTGCCAACCTGTTCCATATGAACATTGAAAATCAACAAAGAAAAAACCCATTATACAAGAAAGAAGTTATATTTCCTTCGTTTTTTTATCTTGAAACTTTCCTGTTTAAAAGAAAAAAAAATTGTTACATCAATTGTTGCAAGTTATAGGATTGAAGCATAACTTTTGGATTATTTAACATAAACCGCGGGATTGACATCCGAAAAAAGAGCTCCATTTCCAACTCTGAAACTTTCTTCACAACTGAAAAAAGCACCCACAACATGAATCTCATGTTCTTAACTGAAAAAAGCAATTTATATTCATGCCACTTATGGCCTCTGGAGGATACCATTTAGCTTCCACATGTTATCATTCAGACTTAATTTTTAACAAAATAACAAAATAGTGACTGCAAGATCAATTTGGCTTGATGATAGCAACCTCCAACTCAATAACTTCAACCTAAAATCTTCAATTTTCATATTTTCCATTCAACACAGTGCAAAACAGTTGTGTTGGTAATAATAGTTATAATCGGAGGAAGTCCACCAACCCAGCTTCCCAGGGGCCTAATAAGCCAAGTTGAGCTACCCCCTTCTTCCTTGTTAATCTTGTGTGATATCGTTCTCCTTTTGCATGCTTCCACAGGGTTCATTCCTGTCCGAAGGCCAAATCCATGATAGGGGAACTGAAAGTAGCTGCCAAAATGAGGTAAAGACAAAGAAAGGAAGGGAGAAATCAAACTTGATTCAGCTTCATGATTTCATCAAAACAAACTTGCAATGACCCATGTGCTAGAAGGTTTTGTATACCGCACTCAAACTTGAAATAAATATAGGCATGCCACTAGACTTTCTTAATCAAAAGAAACTTGCAATGACTTGCGAGCCAGAAGGCTTTATCACTGAAACCAACTCGATATGAATTTATGAGTAATTCCCTGAGAATCCTTCACATAATATTGCTGTTAAAGATCCAGCACTAATGTCTTTATTCTTCTTTTTGAAATAAACTAACGTCTTTATCTTTTTGAGGGTGTAAAAACAACCTACTAATACAAGAGAGTGTAAATAAACCAAATGCAAATTTTGTTTCTAAACCTCTCATAAGTAACTCATGAAAAATTTTAGAAAACCAGACAGATTAAAGTTCCAGAAACAATAAAGAAAAAGGAAGGTGTTATGTTGATGCCTACGTGGGTTCCCGACATAGTTTTCTAGTTCTTGTAATCTGGGTTGTCTCGAAGACCAAGTTTGGAAATCACAAAGCAATAGGAATCCCAGTCAGTTCGTCGCAGATACTTCAACAATTTCTTTCTCTTCTGCACCATTCCTTGAAGACCTTTGCGTGAATGTTTATCCTGCAACATGATATAAAAATTAAAATGCAAAAGATGGTTTGTTCACATTGTGAGTGTCAAATCATATCATGATCTCATTACCCACATTATTTTACAGTCACCCTAAAAACAAACGAAAATAGAATACATCTGACACATTTAATTGTGCAACTTGGTAACAGAATGTTCCAACTGTTGAACAGATGCAGTTGTCATCAAGAATGACCTACCAATCTTAGTCAAGTTTAGCACATTCATATAAAATAAAACCACATATCCCTGATTTCTAGGGTATTCTCTCTCTACTTTTTTCTGTGTTACTGCTCTTCCAAGCTGAAAGCTGGGACTAATGAAACATACCAGCTATATTAAATGAAGAAGGATAGCATCCTATGATTGCAATTGCCCTCCGGATGCTGAATTCAGAACAAACTACAACTAATTGTCTTATCTATCATATATTTAAAAATGAAGTGAGAATTTCCTTTTTTATGCATCTGCTTGCTAGATCCCTACCCTTCACTTGAGCTTACAGATAAATGCCCTATTTGGCTCTGAACCATATTAAATAGAAACATCTTTTTCTCTTCAACATTATATGCTTTTGTTTGCTTTTTCCCTTTTAGTCTGTTCTACTTGGCAAAGGCAGGTATAATCAGCTGGCGAAGTTCTTGATCAATATTCAAGCCAAAGGGGCTTGGTCCACTTTCATTTTTCTTGAATTTAAGCAACAATCCTACTTGCCCACATTGTATGGAAATAACATTTAACATCATCTGTAAATACTGCAATCATCAACCAATTAAATTCTGTAACTTTTACTAGAGTATTCTAGAGGAACTTGAAAAGGAAACCAAATAATCTAAGAAAGAATACATTACGTTCAGGAAAATGAGGAATTTGGAAAAAAAAATAAGGTAATTTTTCCTCCAGCCTCACCTTTTTGTGTAGTGTTGAAGATAGATGCTTGATCTTAGTAGTTAGTTGTGCCACTGCAAAGCAATTAGAGGAGAAGACATAAATAACCTTGAAATGAACATGTGACCAACTAAACGATGGAGCATACTGGCAGTAGTCTCCAAAGGAGTTTAAAAGGCAAGCCAGCTGGTTCTAGATATTCCAGCCTGGTTTGACAACTTGGAGAGAAGCTCAGTTGGAGCCTGATTAAGCTCTAACAATTCAAATAGACTGTTAAAATTATATTTCTTCAAAGTTTAGAAGTGCAGGTTTATTTTGTTTAAGTTATATCAATCAAGGGATCTCAGTAATTTCCTGGTTTAGCTGTGATAGTCAGAGTAGGAAAGAATCCTGAGATTGACTATTATACTCGTAGTAGTACTAGGCTTTTTGGGTGTCAAGAAGTTTTTTATGGTTTAAATTCTGTAAATTTCCTATTGGGTTTCCGAGCCCTAATTGAACTAGGTGTACACACTCTTGTAATCTCTTTCAATTGACAATACACTTGTTCAGAGAATTTTCTACCTTGTTTGAAGTAATCATTCTCAAGCAAAAAACCAAAGAAACCTTACATTGACAGCACTATAACAAAATACCATTACTATTCAGAGTCTGAAATTTGCACCATAATGCCAAGCTAGATCGGGTACCTCCACCAAAAACAGAAGATCATACACTTTGCTAATAGAATTTTGCCCAAAATAGTGACTAAGACATAGTTGTATTCAGGAGTTCATGATCTTTAACAATTACAAAGACAAAGGAAAAAAAAAATTTGAGGAAAAAAAACAGAATTGTTTTGACTGCTAGAATGGAGCTATGCAGAACTCAATTGCTGATTAACCATTAAGGGAGGATCCACCTTCACTTTTTCAAGGTCCACACCAAGTTGATAGAACTGTCCAAAACCCAAGCAGCGCAAGCAGTGCGGTTGATAGAGGATAAGCACAGAACTTCAAAGCCTTAACTATTAAATCAGCTTGCCTTACAACTTCACCAAGCATCCCAAATTCCTCCTCGATGTACCAAATAGGTTTTGCATAGCCTCCATTCTACTAGTCAACAACGTATTCTTTTTTCTTCAAAATATCATTTAAGGTGATTAAGTCTTGGATTCAACTCAGATTTAGTCACCATCTCTGAGCGAAAATTTAGCAAACTTGAGCCTTGGATAACAATTATTGCACGGACTGATTGGGATAACTGGCCCACATAGGTGAATAGTGTTGTGAACAAAATCATGTGAACAGTAAAGAACTAAACTTGA